AGAGACAGGAGGAGGCAGCTCCGACGCACAACTGAGTTTTATTGAACCAAATCCAGTTTAGCTGGAGCTAAATCTTTTGTTTGATTTCAGGTTATGTTTTAATGTTTTCCAAAATAATTTCATTTTATGGCGCATTTCAAGAAACCCAAGGACGCCAAGATTAAAAACATCACACAGTACAGAAGTACAAAATAGAATACATGTTTTAAAGGTTTTTTGAGATTTGAGTCTTGTTTTTTATATTAAGAGTTTCTGGTTTTAAAATGTCATCATTAGTAAGATAATAAGTAATCTTTATTTACATAGCGCATGTTGAAAAGCCAAGAGCGCTCCAAAATTGTTTAGACTTTAGAGAGAAAAACAATCTCATTCACAAACTGATATCTGCTGTTTTGATTTTGACTATAAGGTTGTGTTCCAGGACCAAGGGCACACACTGTACAGGGCCACTGGACTGCGGGAGTGGACACAGAGCTCAGACCACAGGAGCCCAGAGTAGACCCACCCAGAGCAGGCCACAGAGCTAAGAGCAAAAGGGCAACAATGCCACCTCTACGCCCCTCCCCCCACTACAGAAGTAAGTGGGAGTGAGACCGGGGCCATGAAAGTGGAGGTTTCTGGAGGCAGTGATGGGTGGAGGCCTCAGGTAGAGACCTTGAGGCAGTTGAAAGTGTGTCTACGTGGTTAAATCGACTCAGTGTGACCTTTGAGACCTACAGGTGGTTCGAGGAGTCTGGAGACACAACCCCAAAATTCACACCCTACATACACACACACACACACACATATACACTCACATTCATACACATTCACATTTACATATAGATACATGAAAAAGCAGAACATGAGAAAAAGCATTTTAAAAGTTTACTCCAATGTAAACATATTTTTAATTGTCTATCACTTGAATCAGTATTTTTGAGACCAGAAATGTTCATTTGAATTCTATATTGTCATGGACATGATTGATCTGTCCTGACACTTTTGATTTGTTGATTTTGTACTGTGTGAAGTAATTACATTGATTAGGATTAGATCTGATAAAAACACAAATTAGAGAAGTAAACTGAATCATTGCGCTTGCTTTTGTCTGAGGGACATTAGCAACAGCATGAATAATCAAAATGACATAACCATAGAAAGTAACTACTGCATAACAAGCTGTGTACAGGAACTGTGACACTGCACCATTGACCAGAAGTGCATCGCAAATGACCTGATGTGCTTCAAGTGAAAAGACTGTATCTGGAGATCTGATGTGCATCTGGAGAGACCAAAACCATGGCTTGGACCCTACTGATGTCCAAGATGACATCTCTCGAAATATGACCTGACCTGATGACGACTGAGACCTAACCTCACCCTCAGAGGACCCTGAGGACCTGAGGACCCTGGAGAGAAAACTGGGGAGTGATTGTTTATATTTCTAAAATCATACATTGATGAGTGCTAAATGAGACAGATACTCATGATTCTTTCTTTTGTTTTTGTTTGTCCCTAGCTTCTGGACATCTGATGATCTATTGGACATAGCCATTTGCAGAACAAGAACCAGCCAATGAAAAATCGTCCAGTGCCGATGCTCTTGCTACAACCAGAACCACAACTGTGACAAATGCAATATACATGTTAAGTATTCAGACATCTGACAGACAAAAACTTTGAAAATGATAAAGTATGAGTATTGTAGCGTTTTATTAGATGTTAAATAGTAGTAAAAAAGTAGAATTGTCCTTCCTTTGTTTTTCATAAACATTTCCACATAAGAGTTAAAATAGTACCCTACAATGTTATCCTTCTGATAGAGCAGCTATAATATTAGAATCAGAGTTATGTTACAGCCATTAAAAGTGACAGAAGTCACAAACTAGAAATATGCCTTTGCCCAAGCTGCAACCAAACTTTAGAGTCACAGTAGAGTAGAAATAGAAATAGATAAAAGCATCAACCATAGATTCTTTCAAAAATAGAGAATATTCTTAGCCAGTGCTAATATCAAATGGTAAAGGGACCATTTCACAAACATTTACTTCAGAAGTAGATAAAGTTAATTACAGTTTATGTACAGTTTTATTAGATACTTGCCAAATTCACTTGTGTTCACACATGAGTGAATGTTGACAATGCAAAAAGTTCATGAGTGTAGCCTAGATTAATGCCTAGATTAATGAGATAGATTACAACCAACAGAGATTCAAAAGCATTTTGATGTATTTGTGTATAGCACAAAAACAGTATAGTAGATATTTAGATATTGAGAAGTTTAAAAGTTGTTGATTTATCAGCACAGATTAGAGAATCAAACACCATTGTAGAATAACTGACCCCAACCCCAAACCTGCTAAAATAGATTAGCTCTTGTAAGGATAGTTCCAATTTGATTAATGATGTACATTCATCCCAAACTGTCTGAGAGGAGGAAGTGACAGCACTTCCTGGTTCAACAAATGTATTTGGAAAACTGACCACCATAATAATGTTCATATGAACCATTTGTCTTTCTGTGTTCAGTTTTATTCAATGTATGTAGAATAGACAGAGCAAAATCCCACTAATAATATGCCACTGATAATTAGAGTGTAAACCACAGAGAGATTAAAATATATGTTTAAGAATATGGCTCAATATAAGCAAATATACAAACATATTTGTAAATAGATTAGAATAGTTTTAAACTATAGTGAATAGAGAGTAAAGTACACAGTCTAAGATTAGAATTAGTGATAATAATACAGTGAAATAAGATTGAGTGTAGTGTAAACAATTAGCATTAGAATAAAAGTATAGAGTAATAAAAGTGAAATTAGCTTCAAATTTGAGACTCAGCTTGTTTTTGTCTGTGTTTTGACTGAATCTGCTGAGTTCTTGTGTGTCCAATAGTGTTTGTTTGTTTTAATTTTTGTTGTTTTTTGTTTATTTATTTACTTTATTTTTGTTTTGTTTTTTCCCAGGATAGAGGATAAAATCCAGTGATATTGATTGGATGATTATGAGTTTAATGCATACATTTTCTTTGTTTTTTAATAATTTTGTAAAGTTTTTTTTAGAATTTTTCTTTTTTTTCTTTTCTCACTTTATTGATTTATCAAATTGAATGATCACATGTGATTATGTGATCAAAGGGGAGGGTGTTAGTATTAGATAGCAATATGGCCTACGTGCAGGACTGTACAAGGACTCTACAAGGACTCCATGTTATGACTATGATTTGACTGTCTCTTTGTGACACGTATGTCTTTCGATGTGTGACGTGACAATGACTATATAAACTGTGTACTGCCTTTATTCTGTCTGAGAGAAAGACACAAAGTAAACCACTGGAACTTGAGAGAAACTTAAATAAACTTCCAGAGTTTGGCGCACCACGATTCGTCTCTGTCTGCTGAATCCTGACAATACATATCAAAACCAATGGCTTGGCGTTGTTGTAAGAGGCCAGGGCTTGTTTCTCCAGTTTCTCCATACTTATAGATTGGCCACTAAAGAAAGGAGAGTCTGGAGAGCCCATCGCACAGCCATGAATCTGTCTAAAGAAGGTGTCTCTAAATTGGAAATATGGGGTGATAAGACACATTTGAAGTATTTCAGTATTGGTCAGGTGTTAACCACACCCATAGGTTATAAATCTACAACGTGCGGTCTGAGATTTCATTCCCTTGAAAAAGTTCTTTGGATTAAGGACGAAACGTCGGGAAAACCTGCTAAGTGCAGATGATGGGTGAGAAACCTTCCTTTGCTTCGCCAGACTGTGTGTTACTTTTATGTCACTGGGTTTTCTGAATCAATGATAAAAGAATTGATTCACCAGTGTGTGAGCATTTTTGCTATGGGAGACTGAATATGGAAGTGCACCAATGTCACTTTAGTGTGAACAAGCCCATATATACATTACATTAAGGGCACAAAAGTGTGACAAAAGGCCAAAAATTTGATTTTAATAATCAGAAGATTTTTATGTTTTTCATGTTTCCAAGCACCTCCTCTGTCCATTAGAGGTTGCTAGAACATAACTGTTTTGTACATTAGACAAGTTTCCTATAGCGGCCCTGTTTATTTTATGTAACGGACGTGATGATTTGACGGAATGAGCTTTGTGGAAGTTTGATAGGTATTTTCAGATGTCCACATTTGATTCAGAGATTCTATTTTTTTACACAAAGTAGATGCAAAGTGATACTTTCATATTGTCAACCAATTAAATGTGAAAACAGACCAGATTTTTTTTTTCTCAAGTTTAATTTTTAGAGAAAAGAGGACCGTCCTCACCACGTCCGTCATACATTTTTCAGGATTTTCATTTCAGGATTCCTTTTTTTATCAAGTGATTTCCTTCTGTTGTGTTAACCGTGTAAATCTTGTGGGATTTCATCTTCTGCTTTTTCAGACTGAGGACATTTTATTTTCTATGTAACTGGCGTCACAGTAGAATGGTCCAATCAGAGGCTAATTTGGTCGTTTAAAATGTTGCTAAAAAATTTTATGTCAATCTTTCCTTTAGATTTTTTCCACACCATCTCTTCAATGTGTCTGTGTTTGAAATGTTTCTTCCAATCTATGAAAGTAATTTTAGTTTTTAAGTTATAACCTTTTAAAGTCCAGATACTTCAATTGTCACTTTACTGTGAACACACTCATATATGATTAAATGTGTATACAATGATGCTTGCTCACACAGGATTATGCGGAATGTATGCGTAACGGCAGGAACACTGCACATGGCTTGTGGAGCAGAATGGCAGAAGCCTGACCCAGTACCTTGTTTTACACACTGGGCTGAGACGCTGTGTTGTGTGCAAAGGCTGGTTTATACCTTCATGTCTGGAGACCGTCAGCCACACATCACAAATCAGAAACCTCCCCACCGTGCTGTGCACACGCACAAATGTCACGAGACAGCACGCACATGGATCGGCAAGCGCAGGACCTGCGCACGCCTCACACAGGGGTCAGTGCGTGGCTCTCACAGAGGTTTAAACGGGCATCCTGCACATGTGCATTACCTTGGGGCCTTGGAGTGAGGCAGGCATCGCAGGCCACGGCCCGTGGAAGGTTGATGAGGGTGCAGACTCCACAGGTCCAGTCCTCCTCGTGCTTCTTCCCCACACGGTCATCCGATTGCTCCCTGGACACCCAGCCGAGCAGACTGTTCCGCACAGGCAACGCGCTGCACCACAAATCACGGATTAAAGAACTCAACTCATGTGAGATCATTGTACGTCTGGATTTTTTTTTGTTATTGTAGATGGTCAACAAAACACAATATATAGGATTTCTGTTTCATAAGAAAAAAAAACATTCGACCAATGGCAAGAGTTCAAATCAATTCTATATAATAGCCTTATATATTAGTATAGTAACCTTTATTGGCAACAAGAGGTCAAACCCATTCCAACACCAGGTTTGCACACACTGTAGCTTGGATTTTGACGCATACTTTGGTATTTTATAGTTTTCTCTTTTTTCCATTTTTGTCACTGATGGAAAATTGTTGCGAGAAGTCTCACAATACATGGCCCCATTTATCCTTGCTTTATTACAGATTAGTCGTTCTATCCCTTCTGCGGAACAGCAGCTCCAAACTATAATATTCCACCCTCTACAGTGGGTCCGGTGTTCTTCGGATGCAGCCCCTAAAAGGTGACCCTGCCAAAGCCAGCTTATGTCCAGGCCTATCTAAAGGCGCGTTCAGACCAAAAGCTTCAAAAAGCTTTTGACGCGCTTCAACTGACGCCGGGATAGTTTTGTCATTTTGGTGCTTGAAGCTTTTGACGCGAGTGACGCGCCTGACGCCGGTGGGAGGAGCTTCTCTGTTGTCTGTAGTCAGGACAGCGGTGGATTTTTCAATGAGCAGCGAGCCTTTATTTGTTATATAAAGCAAAATAACGTTGTTGTAGGGCTTCAACAAAACATGTTCTGGGTTCACCACAGACTTGAGAGGCTGCAGTGTTTGCAGAGTTCCGTCATTTACTCCAGGAGCTGCGTACGGAGGAGTTTCGCTTTCAGCGGTACTTCCGCATGTCACTCGCCCAGTCTGGGTTCTCAAACCCCGGAGCTCGCCTCTCCCCGTCTCGCTCTCGCCTCCCCCTGCCTCCCCCTGCCTCTCCCCGGCTCTCGCTCGCCTCTCCCCGGCTCTCGCCCGCCCGGAGCTGCCTTGCTCTGAGCCAGACCCATCGTCAGCCTGTTCTTATTTTAAATAAACTACGTTTACTACACAGCATGTGTACAATGATTTTTGTTACTCAGAATGTTACTACTCATACAAATAATATTACTAATAACAATAATGACAATAAAACAGCAGCAGATACATGACTTCTCTCCATGACAGAGACAGACCCTCTGCTGCTGCTGCTCCTCGTCTCCTGATTGGTTGAAGCCCGCGTCAAAGCTTCAAAAGCTCAGCTTTGCTCAGCTTCGGCGTCAAAGGGATTGTTGTGATACGCGAGCGTTTCGCGTGTCAAAAGCTTCAAGTGAGCGCGTAGTACGCGCGACTCTTGAAGCTTTTGACGCGCGTCAAGTGACGCCGGGGCTCTCGGCTTCACCTGACGCGCTTCACCATTCACTTTTAATGGAAACCTGACGCTTTTGACGCCGAAGTTAAGTCCGGTGTGAACGCCCCTTATCTAACAGTTATCCACTGACCATCTGGATCAGGGGTCAGCAATCCGCGGCTCTGGAGCCTCATGAGGCTCTTTAGTGCTCCTGGAGTGGCTCTTGGAGCCTTCTAAAAAATGTCTGAAAATGGGGTGGGAGGGCTATATTTTATTTCTAGTTTGAATGTGGTTTCTGTAGGAGGAAAAACCTTCTTTGGCAGTCGCTGTTGTAAACAAACCGGCGTGTGCGCATGGATCCCAAAGCTAAAAAGAGAACAAGTCGATAATGAGACTGGACTAAGAATAAGAATGAACATTTCTGAGAAAAAGAGGCGCAAACAAGTGCATCCTGTTTTCAAAATATACAGAGGCAGCGCTGGTGCCACTTGCTGGCCCAATAAAATATGCTCAAAAGCGTATCCCCATACATTTTAGACATAATAGACATCTGGGAACATGAAATTAGCGGATAAAGCAATTGACTTATTAGTGCGTCAATGGCACACACCGAGTAAAGGATATCAATCCAGCTCCAGCAAACTTCTGCCTATGATGTGATCGATATGAACAGACAGTGATGCAGGTATGTGAACTCTGAGCCAAAAAGCAGATTTGTTTACTGTATTTCTTCAATTGCATGTAGGCAAACAAATGGAAGTTAAAGTTAAAGCAGAGTCGTCACGTGGTGCGTCATTCTCTCCAGGACACGCTGCAGTGATAATACACATTTGATAATCATAAATATGTATTTGTAGCCTTTACTTTGTCATTTAGATATTAGGCTAATATAGCTTATACAGCTTGCAGCCTGTGTTACCTTCATATAAGCCTTATACAAGGCTGTTATTTTTTTGCGGCTCCAGACAGATGTTGTTTTTAGTTTTTTGTCAAATATGGCTCTTTGAACCTTTTGAGTTGCCGACCCCTCTGGATGAGTTGAGTTGCCGTCTGGATGATCCAGACGAGACCTTGGAAAATACCATGAGGTCAGATGAGGCCAAAATGGATCAAAAACTCCCTAGTTGTTAGGAGGGGGGAAGAATGTGTTGCATCAAAGACAGTGTTCCACTATGGAGGAAAATAAAGATAAGTTCAATTGAATATTGTGGCACTTTGAGAAATTACCACAAAACATTTTCTTTCCTCACTTTGCAAATGCAGGTAAAAGTTCTGACACAATTCCAATTAAAGGTTCAGCGATGGAAAAAGTCTCTCAAATTGTATTATTCATGCAATAATATAGCATTAAGGTTACTTCCTCTCGCCACTTTTACTACAATACAATATGCAAATTACAATTTAATTATTCAAAAAGATGTAATCAGCGCTATAAAGTATATCAAAGTTCTTTCTTTGCACAACTCATTAGGATGAGATTCATTTCACTCATGAATATGTAAGTAATTATACACTACAACTCACTGATTCATTCTCATGAAAAGACATTTGTTACATATTTAATAAAGAGCAAACAGGGACTTTCTGCCTCCAAGCACCTTCTAGTCATATGTTGCTTAACTGCTTTTGTCTATTCATACATTTGCCCTGTAGACATAATTTCACATTCTAAAAGATCTCAAGATCATGTGTGCTCTCTAACACACAAGACTGGAACCACTGGAAGCAGAAACAGTGGTACATTGGCCGGAGTTGTGGATGTGGCAGTGTGTTGAGGCTTGCGTGTACCTGACGTCCAGGCTGTGTGGGTCTCCGCTCTGACAGCGCTCGCAGAAGTACGTCATGCGGCCGTGGTCTCCCAGACGACAGGCAGTGATCCCATGACGGCACTGGCCACACTGCGACCGCTTGTAGACTTTGTAATGTGTATGCAGTGGCGAGCCCGAACGACGGCACTGTGGAAAGAATTCACATGTAATGTGTGTGGACCCGCGCTGGAGCGGACTCGAACAGTACATGATCATTACATTTCTAGTTTTTGAAGTAGGTTTTAGTTTTGAGTGCATTTTAAGAATAATACCTGAACTAAGTAATTTTTTGAGTGTTTAACCATGCAACAACATGAGGTCCTTCACTGTCAACCTCATGGCTCGGTTCTGGGCGGGCCAGTGTGGCCCACGCCTTCTTCTGTGCTTTCACAAACAGAAAGATCTTGTCCTTACATTCAGGGGGACATCAACTGATAATGGTGATTTTAGCAAGCATTGTGTATTTGTGGCCATACATGTACAGTGCCTTGCGAAAGTATTCGGCCCCCTTGAACCTTTCAACATTTCGCCACATTTCAGGCTTCAAACATAAAGATAAAAAAATAAAAAAAAGATTGTCAAGAATCAACAACAAGTGGGACACAATCGTGAAGTGGAACGAAATTTATTGGATAATTTAAAACTGAAAAGTGGGGCGTGCAATATTATTTGGCCCCCTTGCGCTAATACTTTGTAGCACCACCTTTTGCTGCAATTACAGCTGCAAGTTGCTTGGGGTATGTCTCTATCAGTTTTGCACATCGAGAGACTGGAATTCTTTCCCATTCTTCCTTGCAAAACAGCTCGAGCTCAGTGAGGTTGGATGGAGAGCGTTTGTGAACAGCAGTCTTCAGCTCTTTCCACAGATTCTCGATTGGATTCAGGTCTGGACTTTGACTTGGCCATTCGAACACCTGGATACGTCTATTTGTGAATCATTCCATTGTAGATTTGGCTTTATGTTTTGGATCATTGTCCTGTTGGAAGATAAATCTCCGTCCCAGTCTCAGGTCTTTTGCAGACTCCAACAGGTTTTCTTCCAGAATGGTCCTGTATTTGGCTCCATCATCTAACCCATCAATTTTAGCCATCTTCCCTGTCCCTGCTGAAGAATAGCAGGCCCAAACCATGAGGCTGCCACCACCATGTTTGACAGTGGGGATGGTGTGTTCAGGGTGATGAGCTGTGTTGCTTTTACGCCAAACATATCGTTTTGCATTGTGGCCATAAAGTTCGATTTTGGTTTCATCTGACCAGAGCACCTTCTTCCACATGTTTGGTGTGTCTCCCAGGTGGCTTGTGGCAAACTTTAAACAAGACTTTTTATGAAATGGCTTTCTTCTTGCCACTCTTCCATAAAGGCCAGATTTGTGCAGTGCACGACTGATTGTTGTCCTATGGACAGACTCTCCCACCTCAGCTGTAGTTACAGTAGGTCCCATTCCGTTTTGTCGCCTTTCACGCGTGAATCACACGTGAGTCTCGTGTGATTCACGCGTCTTTTATTTTCCCCCCTCCCAGTGACGTTGCAATGACCAAAACAACCACCAGGTGGCACTTGTGAGCAGGGTTACATTGGCGAGTTTCTGCCCCGCACACAATGACAATCTGGTTAAAAGGAGCAACTCCTTGTAGCAGGCCAGTCTCTGGAATAACCCGCAGACATTAAAACTACTGCATACACTGATAAAAATAAATTTTAGGTGTACTAAATGTTATCATATAAAACTATATAATTCCTACATTGTTTATATAAGAAACTGTGTTTACTTACTTTTGCTAATTAAAATTGTGCACCAAAACGTGATTTAATCATTTAAAAAAGGGGTATTATATAGACACTGTAACAGTTACTTCAATTATAGAATTAGTCCATGTTCTATCAATGTGAAAATTAAAGCTCCTGTTTGAATTAGCACATGCGCAGTGTGACCAAGACGAATGCGCGATCACACGGCTGTCGCTCTCTCCCAGCCGATCCATGCTCCCAGCAGACTCGAACGAACACGAAGTGGAACGTGAAGTTTAATGTAAGTAACTTTTCAATTGTTTTTCATGTGACAGTATATTCATTATTGTCTTTGGGTTGTGTTGCATTGTACACATGTCGTCATTGCGTCACATCAGCGTCGGCTAACATTATATTTTTAGATGCTAGGTATTTTTTCTCCTGCGTCAAAATGGAACTGAGAGATATTCAACTTTTCGTCACATGAAACAAGGCATAGCCTATGCTATGTTATCTAACGCTGGTTTAAAACTCAATTGAATATTAGTTTAGCGTTAATCGGACTAATTTCCATCTGCGGGAAATAAGGCACATGGTGTTTGCAAGCTTAGTTAAACAAGTTAACCATTTGAAAAGAACTAAATAATTTATTTTCTCATTTTCCTTGGAAGTAACACAAGGCTACGCAATGTAAGCAAATAAGTATAATACAGCTCGGAAACTTGTGTTGAAACAATCGCGTCAAATACTACAGTTCCCATCATGCTTTTGCTTTGTCACGTGTCCTCCTCAAACAACAACAAGCACAGGCATGCCTGTGCTTTATTTAGCAAAGAGTTTGGTCTCGTTTCTCAAACGTAAATCTGGGCTGTGTACAGAGGACTGCGTGCTTCGGTATGTACAAACGACGCTGCGCGTGATTTGATTCATAGCGTAGTTAATGTTGTAGCGTAGCTTCTTCTGAGGCCAGTTTTCATTACTTTCATGACTGTCTTTCTTATATCGCTATGCACTCCACTAAACATGGCTGATACTTAGTTATTATTGCTTAACAAGTAGATACGTCTTTCCGTTTTTTTCGTTTGGAGACTGAAAATATATCCCAAAGCATTTATGTTCCCCCCGTGCAACTAAAATTGTATGAATTATTTGTGAATTTAGACAATTAAATAATAATTATGTGAACATTGTGAAATTAATCACAAGTAATGTAATGTTACAGTATATTTGACAATTTATAAATATTACATTATTTATATATTATACTGTAATGTTAAAGTATATTTTACAATTTTCTTTCAGATTCAGGAGAGAAGTGCTGATATTGACACCAGATCTTATACCCACCACTTCTACTTTGGTAGCTTCAATCAGGTAAAAATGTAACTATACATTTGATTTATAGTTTACTAACTGTATACAACATTTAATCCATATTTTTGTGTTGCAGGGGACCAATAATCAAGACTCAAAGAAGGAGAAAGATTAGAGACAGTAGGCTTTTTAGATGAGATGGCAATGCAAAGTTTGCATTGCCATCTCATCTCAAAAGAGATGGCAATGCAAAGTTGGAGAATCACCACCATTCCTCTTGAGCAGACCTTCATGTTCAATCTGGACAAATACACTCCAAATTTACTTTCTGTGTTTGCGAAGAAGGGTGGTGCTATCGGGGCAAAACTGAAACCTGTTTTGAACAAACAGATACAGGTATGTTTAGTCATAACTTATGCTGAGTACAATACATAATTTGTTCTTTCCCATTGATAAATCCCTGTTTTGGTGCTATTTACAGAACCAAACAATTGAGATGAGACGTGACAATGTGATTCGTGGTTTAATGCTCTACCTCGGTGAAAATGAGGAAGAACTCTTTCTAGATTGCCAGGTACCATTCTTGATATTTTTCTCCCCCATTCTCTCAAAAACTCAGGGTCGTCCTATTCCTCACATATTTAACCTGTTTTGTAAGAGTGAGTGTCAACACTTCAAATACACCAAACGAAATACAGTGGTAATTTAAAGCTCTCACTGTCAGAGTTTGGGAACTCACTGCTCTTTCTTTTATAAACTTGTTTTGATTGTTTTTTTTATTGTGCCACGATGATGAACTCCAATGTAATGTAACACAGCATGTTGACCCATGACAAAAACACACGTCCGTGTTTTGGAATCACCTTATGGCTGTGTCTATGATTATGACCTGTCTTGTGATTATTGATCAATCAAGTATAATGTTTGAAGAGAACAAAGGTAGTCTGAGGCACTCTGTTTTGGTGAAAAAATTAAAAGTCCTTTAATGAATTGGACTGCCTACGCATTTCGACCAACAGCGGTCTTTGTCAGGGCATAAATTAGATAAATAAAAAGATTTATGGCTATAGAAGTGAGCTATAGCTATAGCTATGTAAGCTATAGAGTGTATTTATCAAAGTAATTCTTCCTCTTTACAATTTACCCAGGCGCACTTAGAGGATGTTGGCCGGCACAAAATGAAGATCCTGGTCGTTTGTTCTTCCTCTGATGAAGAACCTGTGGATGTCTCTATTGTTCTCGACGGCAAGGAGATTGTGACTGGATGTGGAAATACTGCAAAGGCATGTGCACTGCTAATGGGTCTAATATATTCCCTCAATCTTGCTTATCCTACAACACTACGATACACCTTCGAAGTATTTCAGAAGATTTTCTTACATTTAGATGCATTTAAGCCATCCCCGAAAATACAAACACTGAAAGTCAAGCTACTGTCCAAAACATAAGAGAAGCAATTTTGTTCAGCATAAGAGAAAAGGCCACAGATTTTATATAATTTGATGTTGTTACTTTAGCTTAGACTCTAGCTTAGACTAGAATATGAAAATTAGTCATTAAAACATGGACATGTTAAATTAATTGACTATTCTTGAATCTAGTAACTCCTCATGTAACAGTGTTTTAATTAGGGAAAATGTGAAAGAGCTCGGCCACTTCTAAAATTACCTCGGTCTGGAGCCATTGAGATTTACTGCGAGAGGCTAATGCTACAACATCCTGGTCTTTAGCTGAACAGAGGCTCAAAGACCAGGCAGGTGCATCATCTCATCTAAGCTAATGACATTTAATTATAGAAAATCAATGGCCTATCTCTATACCATTCCCATTGCATCCTTTTTGTGATAATTAAGTTTTCTGTTGTCATGTGTTCTGCTTTTAAGGTCAGCTTTAGTTCATCTTTTAGTTTTCATTGTTGATGTGTGAACTTAAAAGTTTGTCAATAAAACAGGTTGTTAAATGTTGATATTTGCATATTGTTTTTTCTTATTAA